GAGAGAGAGAGAGAGAGAGAGAGAGAGAGGAGAGCAGCAGCCCCAGGAGCTCATCAATAGAATTGAACTGAACCAGCAACACAAAGAGAAGGCCTGCTTACTTTTCTGTCCTTGAGAGGGAAACTAAGTGGGCAAGAAAGAAGACATTCTGATGTGCTAAGAGAAAGCCTATTGAGCTTTGAGGTTTGGGAAAAGTTCTAAAAAACAGAAAAGCAGGAAATAGGTCCACCAAAAACAGGAAAAAAAAAAGAAGAAATGACTCTACGAAGACAACGTACTACAGAAACAAAAAGCAGGCCAACTGAGAAACAACCAGAGAAATGTAATGGCAAGCAGGGGTTCACTTTCTTGAATTCTTTTTTGTTAGTTTCATAATTTTGCAAGGAATATGAGTGAGAACGATATACAGAAAGCCAAGTTGCGAAATCACACAGATGTCCAAGTAGTCATGTAACAAGCAGAGAGCATAAATGTGCCAAGATTCCATCCATGAGCCAATGTTCAAGCGCTCAGGCCACACCAACGCAATATGCAATGTCGCTCCTACTGCATGGCTCCCAGTGCCCTTCCTACTCTACCTAGCCTATCCTACTACAGCCGCATTCACGCAAAAGGCTCACTTCGACTTTGAAGACCAATGTACATGCCGTCAACACAATAGCCGAAATCCCTCATGCACCAGGTACGTATCTCGTCTCCCCTCATCACCCCCTGACCACCCACACTCGCCTCCTCCCTGAAGACCACCGATCGCCCCTTACCCCCTTGCGCCCTGCAGCTCGGCTATGGCTGCTTCCACACCGCTGCCCTGCAGCGCCCCTCTCACCTCGCAAGCGCCCGCATGCCCCCCTGGACGCTAACGCAGCAGGCAGCCACTTGCGCGTCAACGCTGCAGCGTGACCGCATTGCCAGCGTCGGCCAGAATGCAGACACTGGCTGCCTTACTTCCTATATGGAAGTGGCAGCCTCTGTTTGGCTGTGTGTGGGCCTAGAAGTTTCCAGTAGCTTCCGGTCAGGCCCCAGTGCCTGTGCCCAGGCCCAGCCCTGCAATTGAGGGCCTGGGCCCTTTACAGTTGTGCACACACAGAATTTCCAGACTTGGGCAGTTTGCTGCATTTGCACTGGCCGAGGGGTGGGTATGGCGACAACACATGTTTTCTGAAAAGAGCAGGGAGGCTCACGCTTCCTTGTAACCAACTGGCGTGCTGCAACTGCCTGAGTACCCACATATGAAAAATGTCAAATTTTGACCTCTTGTGAGTATTCAGGCCCGCCTTCACTTAGGGCGGGCAACAGCTTGCTGAGGGCCTTTGCCCAGAACATGTGCATGTCTGATAAGGGCCCCGCTAGGGCTCATTCCTCGCAATTTGCTATCGCATGGCCCTTTTTTTCATTTCTTATGAACCATCAAGCATTATAGACAGAGTAGAACGCACCACCCAACCACCCACACCCACTCATTGAAGCCACGCGTAATGCGCACACGTGCACAATGCACACACACGGGACACACCGTCTGACTTACGCTGCTGGGCTTGGCATGGCCCATAGGCACGGCAAAATCCCAGATGAAACAAAACCAAAATCCTGAACACAGTATGTGATTTAAAAATTTACAGACATTTTGTCAGGTTTACGTGCTGGAAGCTTAAACCACCAGTACGTGGCCCCAGGCAACTGAAGAACCTCTTTTGAGCCTCTCCAAAAATTTAGGAGGCTGAGCGCCGTGAATCAGTGGTGGGCGGCCTTCGAAAGGGGCCCACGGCCGATAGCTGGCATGTACTGGTGGTTTAAACCACCAGCAAGTTTCCCAGCCATTTTCTTTTTTTATGTTTATTTTTATTTTTATTTTAAAAGGGCGACGGCCTTGAGATATCATCTAGAACTGACCGGCCCTGGGTAATTCAGAATGATTTTTTTTATATTCAACTGGTTCCATCGGAATTCGACTCGGGTCTGTATGTCAACAGTTCATGAGTGTACCAACTGGGCTAGGCCTGTCGGTATTCCCAGCAACTTTTGGGGTCGGCCCCGGCTTGAATGCTGCCGCAACTTTTGGGGCTCGGCATTCTTTAGAACCTTAGCTATGTTACAAGCCATCCGCCTCCAGCAGGGGGAGTCCACATCACGAATTCAGGTGGTCCCGGAACTGACCAGTTCTTTTTTTTTTTTTTTTTTTTAATGGCACCATTGGCACGGTTGTACTGCGCCTGATCAAAAGAGACAGAATCTGCAGTCTTTTGTGAGAGCAACGTGGTGGTCGAGAGGGGAACGGCTGGGGGGTTGGTGCTGGGAGAAGAGTGAGAAGGTCGGGGGCGGATAGACAAAAGGTCGAGGGAAGGTGAAGGAGGATGACAGACAAACTCGGGCCAGGATGGCAGAAAAGGAACAGGATGCCGGAAGGTGGGGAGAGGATGGTGGAAACTTGGAAAGGATGGCGAGGGGGGAGAATGGTGGCAAGATGGGGAAGAGGATGGTGGATAAGTAAGGGGACTATAGCGGAAAGGTGTGGGGGGGGGGGGGGGGGGGGGGGGGGGGGGGGGGGGGGAATGGCTCCAAGGTAGGGGGAAGACGGCGGGAACATAGGGGCAGGATGGCAGAAAGGAGGGGTGGTAAGAAGAAGAAGAAGAAGAAGAACGGGGAGGGGGGATGGGGCAGAGGGGCTACGGTGCATGACAGGTGCTGAAATAATTATTCATTTTCATTTTCTCTTCCGCTGCACCAGCTCCACTAGTTTCCGTCACACTGCACAGAACATGCGATGTTCAGCCACACTCGATCCACATACTGACCGTGTTTTTTATTCAGACAGATTTCGGTGGTCTGTTGCCGAGAGATTTGAATTCGGAGAACAGTTCTCATAGGCCCACAATGAAACTTTAGATCACCCCATGCTACAACCACTGCCACTTGTAAAAAACACAAAAATAAAAAAACTCATTTTTTTCAATTCTTTTACTCATGAATTTGGCTATAAATTCTGATATGACCCTCAGGGCCTCAGCCAGAAGTTTTTTGTATCGCAATGATGCATAGCATATCCTGCTTTTTTTTTATAAAGATTCCTCCCTCCGTATTTTGTTGAATGTATACATCGCGCCACTGGTGCTGCTTGGCCGTGCAGAACTAATGGGGCACCGGGGAAACGGGTTGGCTGTACGGCCCCCACTTTGAAACCTCAAGGGAACAGGCTGAGAGGACAGGGGGAAGATGGTGCTCCACACCGCTCAGTTGAGCTGCAATGGCGCTTCCCACAAGCTGAGCCGAAGCTAAGTTGAGTAGCACCAGACATTCCCTTAAGGCTGTGACCCCAAGCTGCTGCCTTCGGCGCTGCCCCAGAGTTGACCATCTGTTATTTGCACAAAAGCATTGCTTTTTTCCTTGAAGACAAACTTGGGGGCAAAGTAAGGCTTCGACAAGGAAAAAAAGTTTAGTGTTTAAAGGGAATTAATGATGAGAACTTGCCTCGCAAATGCTGCTCCAGATTGCCATTGCCAACATGTTCATACACAAGTGCTTGCACTTTCCCCTCACTGCAGTAACCAATCAGTCTGACAAGATTTTTATGGTTAAGCGCTGACAATGTCTTGATTTCCTGCAACAAGCCAGACCCACAACAGTTGTGCATGAGTAAATGACAAGGGATACTGAGTGTTCATAAAGGTCATCACTGCAAGATAGGTTTCGCCATTGGTCAATGGATGAACTGAAATGGAACCCCAGTAGCAATCCCAGTTGGAACAAGCAGTTCCAACATCAGCCCAGGCAGCCATACACAAGTGGCACACATGCCCAAAACAATCCTCTACAATAAACTCCTGGGGATGTGGTCTGTCCATTGCAAAAGCAGCTATCTATAAGTATGTCTGTGCGAGTGAGTGAGTGAGAGAGGGAGACAAAGAGAGAGGAAGAGAGCACAACATGCACGAGTGGTCGTCATTTCCCCCCCCTTTTTCTTCAGGTGGCGGGGGCACACTGCCCATAAAAATCTCAGACGGAGCAGTAGCCTCTCCACAGAATACCTGCCCGCCAATTGTTTTCTTCACAATGTAGATAATTATTTCCTTTGGCGAGGGTGTTCTAGTTCTTTCCTTGGGTGCAACCCTAATGGCTGTCAATTACTTTCTCAGGGTGTCCAGCCAGGTGCAACACCGCCACCCAATTTAGATAATTCTCAGTCTGTGCAGCACAATATGTAAGACAGCCAAGCGCACATTTCTCTTCCCTATCTGATCGAACAAGTGTCAAATGGACAGACAGGAGGAGGGTCGAACAGAGGGACGAAGGGAGGTAGATAGGGACAGACGGACGGATGAATGGACAGACGGACAGGTGGATGGATAGACGGACAGGTGGATGGACAGAGACTGACGGACAGATTGACTAAGGGACGAACAGATGGATCGATGGAGGGACAGTAGGATGGAGCAACAGACAGAGGGGCGGAGGGATGAAGTGAAAGAAGGGACAGACGGTCGGAGGCACGGACAGAAGGAAGGCCGAGGAACAGCGGGATGGCCAAGGAACGGAGGGAGGGCGGGATGAATGGATGGAGGGACAGAGGGAGTGAGGGAGTGAGGGAGTGAGGGATTGAGGGACTAGGGAGTGAGGGACTGAGGGATGGAGGGACAGAGGGACGGAGAGACGGAGAGACAGATGGACAGAGGGATGGAGGGACGGATGGACAGATGGACAAACATACGGATGGACAAACAGACGGATGGACTAATGGACGGATGGAACAGATGGACATATGAAGGGATAGAGGGATGGACGGACGGGGGCAAGTGCAATCTCTCTCTCTCTCTGTGTCTCCCAAACAGAAGGTTGCATGAATTACACACACAACAAACTGCGAGGCTATGCCCGCTTAGCCCTACGGGTCTTATTTGCAACAAGGTCGGCCGCCCTAAGTGAAGGCAGGCACGACAGGCCCTCAGGGCCTCACTTTCAGGGTACCCCCGCAAATGGGGAAATTCAGGCAGTTGCACAGCATCAGTTGGTTGAATGAACTCAGGCCCT